CCACTATGGAACATAAGGTTGTGTAGGGTTTCTTATACATCCTGGACAGTTCGGCCACACTTGTACCACTTTCATATTGTTCAATGATGGTTTTCTTAAATTCAATCGTATTTCTCACCTTCTTTACCACAGGCTTGGCACTAGGAGCTCTCTTTGGAGCCATGGTAGCTTATTTAGTACTTGCAAGCACTAAAATAAATGGAATATTATGAAATATTTTGCTGGAGCACGTGAGGGGACCTTCGCTCACTGGTAAACAATGCCAGACTGGCGGCCGCCCCGGCTCACACCATGGGTACGCGTCCTGGACAAACTACGACTCGCGAGTCAACCTATGAAAAGCAAGTCCATGTTTATACGAAAATACCCCTATGATTGGCAAAATTTACGACTGCCGAGAACTACAAAGAGCGGGGGACCACTGTACTTTTCATTGTGAAATCAATCAAAATCCCCTCAATTTCTGTAATATGTCTTCCATTCTATAAAATGAGACCAGGAAAACTAGAATAAAACCATAAATACCATACAAAAATACAGTGCAAAGTCGCTGTTTTAACCCTTTGACTGTTTAGGCCGTATATATACGTCTTACGAGGTACTGTGTTTGACGTATATATACTCATAAATTCTAGCGGCTTCAAATCAAGCAGGAGAAAGCTGGTAGGCCCACATGCGAGAGAATGGGTCTGTGTGGTCAGTGTTCACCACATAAAAAAATCCTGCAGTACACAGTGCATGAGAAAAAAAAAACTGACCGTTTTTTTTTTAATTAAAATGCCGACTTTGTTGTCTATTTTCGTATAGTATTATGGTTGTACTCTCATTTTCTTGGTCTCATTTGGTAGAATGGAAAACTTATTATAGAAATAGAGGTGATTTTGATTGGTTTTACTATAAAAAGAACCTTGAAATGGAGCTCAAAGTAGAGGAAATGTTTGATTTTTGCCGATTTTCAAAAGTAAACAAATGATGTCATTGTCCAATAAATGTCCAACTAGCCATTCTAATATGCAGTCATGAATGGGCTGACGTTATTTGTACAATTATTACAATATTGCAGTAGCCTGCATAACAGTAAATCTTCTATTTTTTGTTTGAATAAAAATACAAAATAGAAAGCAAGAGTAATATCAGAGGAGCTTGGAGACGTGACTGATGAACAAAGAAAATGTTATTTTAGAGCCAGGAATGTCTGCATTGTTCATTCTGGACTTTATTTTGAAATTGTCATATTTTTTAATTTTCGTGAAATTGGCCAAATTGCAAATTTCTGACCACGTTATTGGGTAGTTTAAATCGGTAAATGGGCAGTTTCTTGTACTCAATCGATAGAAAAAATGGAGTTCTGTGAGTTTGGTCGACTGGAACAATGGAATTAGCCGAAAATAGGACTCAAAGTGGGTGAAATCACCGATTTGTAAATATCACCGAGGTCGCTAACTTTGCGAGAGCATAATTCCGTCATTTTCCATCAAATTTCTTTTTTTTTTTTTTGGTGTCATTACAATCAGGAAAAGATTCTCTATCATTTCATAAGAAAAAATAATTTTTTTTTTTAAATTTTGCAAAAACCAGGAGACACCTCAGGATTGGGGATTGCGACAGTCAAAGGGTTCAACCAAAAACATGGTCAAAGTTTTTTTTTTCTCATTACACACTGTGTGCTGCAGGACTTTTTTACACTGCGCACACTGACTACATAGACCCATTCTTTCATATGTAGGCCTACCAGCTTTCTCTTGCTAGATTTGAAGGCGCTAGAATTTAGGCGTACTAGTACGTCAATAACCCTGGTGTGTAAGCTGTACTAGTACGTCGGAAACCCTGAAAGGGTTAATACATAAGCTTTTGTTTGCAATTCTTGGCATGAATTACATATTCATTATTTCTCCCTTTGTTTATGATGGCATCTAAAGGTAGTTGTTAGAAACGATTAAACTCAGTGAACATGGTATGTCGATGGTAATATGGCTGTAGGCTGCAGTGTATGTAGCCAGTAGGTATACACCTGGGATGTAGTCTGCCTGGGACTACAAATAAATACTACTCACCAACAAGAGTCTTCAATAAAGGTATGTAATGTTTATTTATCATTAAAATTAGTCATTTATATTTCTCTATAAAATGTATTTTTTGTTAATATTTTTGGGTGTCTGAAACCAATAATTGGATTTACATTATTTCTCATGGGAAATATTACTTCGGATTTCGGCTAACCTTCTGAAATGGATTAACTACAAAAACCTGGGGTATACTGTATAATATTTGCAGCTCTGGCCAAAATGTTCTCCTACTGAGGCTTTTGCAATCACATGATTCATTAAACTTATCAGCCATACTGGACGTCATGCCACGTGTGTGATAAACTCTGACAATCTCCAGTGTGCAACATATCCTTCTCTTGAATACCTTCAAGTACAGCACTTTGTTTTACATTCAAAAGTGAAGTCTGTTGCCTTCAGGGTAAAATTCATTCAATACATATCCACAGAAATTTTTGTTAGGAAATCAGAAACTGCATACCTGTTGACTGCTGATCCGATCCCGACTTACATCTTATGATTTATATCTTTCCCTACACTAAGGATCTTTACAAAAGTCTTAATGTACACCACTTCAATTTTTTTTTTTTCTGATTTAGTAACAAACCAACATTAGTGGGAAGTATCTGGGGCTGCAGTCTCACTGAAGCTAGCCAAACAGGCATATTATGATGTATCAATATTTAGGTCCTGACAGCTTTAGGCAATAAAGTTATATTTATCTTTTGTCATTAACGGGTGTACTTATAAAGTGGACCCTCGACTAACGCTATTAATCCGTTCCTGAGAGCTCATCGTTAGTCAAAATAATCGTTAGTCAAGTTAATTTTCCCCATAAGAAATAATGGAAATCAAATTAATCCGTGCAAGACACCCAAAAGTATTGAAAAAAAAAAATTTTAACACATGAAATATTAATTTTAATACACACAAACTGAAGAAGACATGCACAGTTACATGACACTTACCTTTATTGAAGATCTGATGATGACTGATGGGATGGGAAGAGGGGAGTGTGTTGATGGTCTTAGTGTTTAGAAGGGGAATCCCCTTCCATTAGGACTTGAGGTGGCAAGTCCTTTTTCGGGGTTACTTCCCTTCTTCTTTTAATGCCACTAGGACCAGCTTGAGAGTCACTGGACCTCTGTTGCACAACATATCTGCCCATAGAGGCCTGTACCTCCCGTTCCTTTATGACATTCCTAAAGTGTTTCACAACATTGTCAGTGTCACCATTAAACACTTGTTCAGGTTTCAGTCCTTCCCTGTCTATGTACTCCTTGAATTCCTGCACATATTTTTCAGCTGCTTTTTGGTCCAAACTGGCAGCCTCACCATGCCTTATCACACTATGTATGCCACTACGATTCTTAAATCTCTCAAACCAACCTTTGCTGGCCTTAAATTCACTCACATCACCACTAGTTGCTGGCATTTTTCTAATTAAATCGTCATGCAACTTCCTAGCCTTTTCACATATGATCGCTTGAGAGATGCTATCTCCTCCTATCTGTTTTTCATTTATCCATACCAATAACAGTCTCTCAACATCTTCTATCACTTGCGATCTCAGTTTCGAAAACATAGTTGCACCTTTGGCAAGAACAGCTTCCTTGATTGCCGTTTTCTTGGCCACAATAGTAACGATGGTTGATTGGGGTTTTGTATACAGCCTGGCCAGCTCGGAGACATGCACTCCACTTTCATACTTAGCAATGATCTCTTTCTTCATATCCATAGTAATTCTCACCCTTTTTGCTGTAGGGTTGGCACTAGAAGCTTTCTTGGGGCCCATGGTGACTTATTTTGCAGGTGCAATCACTAAAAAGGCTGTGATAATATGAAATGTTCCGATTGTATGCTTGGAAGCGACCGCGGTGGCTGGCTGGCTTGTAAACACTGGCCAGAAGTGGACGCGTCTCAGATGGAACGAATAGTGCTGGTCGAGTTTTTTAGCGTAATCGAGGCAAAATTTTTGCGATAAAATGTATCGCTAGTCAGATTTATCGTTAATCGATGCCATCGCTGGTCGAGGGTCCACTGTATTTTAACCTTTTTTTCACGCATTTGTGATCATGTGATATCAAGTACAGTAAACCCTTGATTTAATAGACCTCAATTTAACAAACTTTAGAAACACAGGACATAAACCTCTTGGTCAACTGATTCGGAAACTAACAAAGTCCACTGGTTAGAGAAATACATGTTAGCGATACAATCATAGCAAAACAAACGCATCACTATCCACCACAATCATCAACTTTACCAGCCATCCGCTTCCCTCTATTAGTCTGTTAAATCGCAGGGTTACTGTACGTAGTTTCTACCAAAATGCATTTTATTAATTTAAAATAAGTTTTTATTATTTTTCATCACCAGTTACTATCAAATGCTCAGAGCACTGTATACTGTATACAGACAGACACAGATGTACATCTCTCAGTACATAAACACTAAGAGCATACTGTACTTTAATCACAATTTCAGGAATTAATGTATTTTTGAATGATAATGCAAAAGCTACATGCAGTCTCAATAACCATCAAGAAGACAGTTATCAACAATGTTATATACATTGAGAGGTATCTGTTAATGTAGATATCCTACAAGTTTTAATACCTATTTTAGGGATTAAAGAAGTTTCAACTGAATGTGTACAGTTTACATGCTGAATTTCGTTGGCTTCCGGCCATTCTACTTCATGGCAACAACTCATTTTCTATCCTTTGAAACCCTTGAGGAACCTGTGGAATGCTGGATTAGCCTTAGGATCTAACAACAGCACAACAAGCACAAGCATCATAGAGGATGAAGATTTAGACACATGTGCAACATCTGGGTATCTTTATTTGTAGATGTTTCATCATCCAGTAGCTTTATCAATATAAATCATGGATACAAAGGGAATTTGCATTGATAAAGCTACTGGATAGCAAAATGTTCAACAAATAAAGGTACCCAGATGCTGCACATCTAATTCTTCATTCTGTCAGTATTGTATACCATTCACATACATTATAGAGGCTCAGAATAATATATACAATGCATGGAATGTGCACTATATGTGGTTGTCAGGACAATATACGATAATGGTTGGTAGCCTGTAGCATACCATGCAAATCCTCAATAAGTTCATTTTTAAGAGATAAAACATATCTCAATCTTTACTGGTCATAAAATGTAAAACCAGTCTCATGACAGTGACAAGACACATACAAAGTACTGTATATCACATTAAAAAAAAAAAGGATTAAATAATGAATGCCAACCTGTTCATAATGTGTCTCCATGCAGAAGAATACAAGGTATGCTGTTAGGCATCCAAGACAACCCTCACAGTAACGACCACAAGACATCTTCTCAGCTTCCACGAACATTCCATTGATGTCGTTGATTGTATTTTCAAAGACTGATTTTTCAATCTGTTAAACAAAATTTTATATGGGAAACAAGAAAATTTCAACATTAAATTACAGTACCACTAAAAGCAAATTTCTGTGAAATTTCCCTAAGTTTCACACAGAGAGATTCCTTGTAACTGAAGAGAGGTCAGTTTAATCTCATACTGAATAGAGAAATATGTAGTGTTTATGGCATACAAAGCTTTATCTATCTTCTTCAACATCTCAGTAGTACCTGCCTCGTGTAAGCAATGAGAAGTCCCAAAAGTGGAATACATGTACCATATATGTACTGTATCAAGACTGTTTATAATTTTTTGGTCTGAGCCACAAAATGAGGTAGTAGCTATATGACTTAATTATCAAGTTCTCAATGGCTATGAAACTTTTCAGCATAAATATAAAAAATGATAAAAATTATGTTTTATGCTCATGTTTTTTTCATAATGGAAGGAACAGAAGAAATATAAAGATTAGAAATACTGAACAGAACTAGTTAAAATAACTGCATGTACATTTTCAGTCTCATTCTTCTACTTTATAAAATATATTCTTAAGCACTTCTCAAGATTATTTTACAAGGAACTAAGTTTTATAAAGTTTATTGACATTAATCTAAGAGGAACAACAATGGAGATGGAGGTTCTATATCAATTTCACACAGCATCTTAAATCTATGCTGAAGACAACCTGTATCAGTCATACTCTCACTTACCCTCCCTCACCAACTTCAAACATTTACACCGGGATGATAAACAAACTCACTCATAGTGGAGAAAAAAAAAAATTCTACATAACATTTGGGAATAAACCATGTTTATAATTAGATATCAAAAGCACTGAATCCAAAATAGAAAAAAATTATGAGGGTTAAGTTCCTAGGTCTGTAGATAAGTTAAAATTTAATATTCACATCCAACTCATTAAAAAAAGGAGTATCAAAACCTGTAGATATACTCTCTTAAGATTAAATTTTACTACTAACACTGCTGCTTTCTCATTTACCCATACTTCACTTACATAATTTGTACTTGGGGTTCTATCTCAGCTGTTTACTTCAAGTCAATTATCACAGCAAAAGGAAGCTATCAACCATCACAAACTCAAATTTTAGACAACACACTATGTCCTACTTCAAATCCCTAAACCTACTTATTATAAATGCCATACATACTGTACTAATCACACAAACCTGCATTTAGGAGAGGAAACATATGATGACATGTCGATCTCTCTTGGACCACTGAAAAGTCAGTACATTTACAGAACTATAAATTCTAATATTAATCCTGAACTAAAACGCTTTCTTGATAGTTGCAACAGGACCCACAGACATAATACCAGACACAGAAATCTCTATGACATTCCTCATGTCCAGCTAAATCCCTTCAAAAACTCAATGACCATAAAAAGGCCTAAATCTGAAACTCTCTGCCCAAAATCTCTAGAACTGCAGACTCAACCACTATTTTCAAAACACAGTTAAAAAAAAACCTCATCTCCCTAACGCACCCCCACATGCTATTTACTGTATCATGAACATATCCAAAACAAAATAGACTTACTCTCATTATCTGTAATTCTCCCTATTTTACACTTACACCCACCTAAATGACTGTAAACATAAAATTCTTAATATTTATTTTTTTTTATTAACGCATAGGCCGTTTCCCACCAAGACAGGGTAGCCCGAAAAAGAAAAACTTTCATCATCATTCACGCCATCACTGTCTTGCCAGAGGCATGCCTACATTACATTTTATAAAACTGCAAGATTAACACCCCTCCTTCAGAATGCAGGCACTGTACTTCCCATCTCCAGGACCCAAGTCCGGCTTTCTGGTTTCCCTGAAACCCTTTATAAATGTTACCTTGCTCACTCTCTTAACAGCATGTCAAGTCCTAAAATCCATTTGTCTCCATTCACTCCTAACACACTCGAGCATGACTGCTGGAAGTCCAAGCCCCTCGTACACAAAACCTCCTTCACCCCTTCCCTCCAACCTTTCCTAGGTCAACCCCAACCCCGCCTTCCCTCCACTACAGATTTAAACACTTGAAGTCATTCTCAATCAATCTTTATTACTTTGCAAAATTTATGTGACTGACATGTTTTAAGGAGTCTTTTCCCATGCATAGTTTACAATGTTTAGCTTCAATATTGGTTTGCAAGAGCAAAGAAAGCCACTGACATGCCGAGGCATTTCAGGCTGACTAAACCTAGTGCTTTACAGACTACTTAATACTAGACATATACATCATAGTTGGTTCAAATTTATTATTAATTTTTTTATATATCAATAGAGGTAGTTACAGTATTATATTTTAGCACATAATAATAATGAGATTTAATATCAGAAGAGGTAGCTACAGTATTATATTTTACAGACTACTAAATATTAGACATATAAATGGTTCAAATTTAAAATTGATTTATTATATATCAACACAGGTAGTTACAGTATTATATTTTAGCATACTATAATAATGAGATTATGACAATTTTAGTTTTGAAATAATTTATAAAATTTGGCAAATTTTCGGTTGATGGTGGCAATAGTATATAGTGTTTGTGGTGTTAGTTTTGCGAGGTGAGGTGAGTTCTAAGTAGTGCCTTGAATTGGTGTGCAGGCAGGGGCCCTTTTGTATTATTAGGCAATGAATTCCAGATCTTGGGACCCTTTATATGCATTGCATTTTTGGATCGAGAGAGATGGACACGAGGGATATCAAAGAGTGTTTTGTGTCTTGCGTTATGTAAGTACGTTCTATTGTAGCTCTCAAGAAGGTGTTTGAGGGAAGGGTTTATAATGGAGAATAATGTTCTGTGTATGTACTAGGCACAATAAAGTAAGTGGATATTTTGTATGTTAAGCAGGTTCAAGCTCTTAAATAGTGGTGGGGTGTGTTGCCTGGCACAGGAGTTTGTAGTCAATCTCACTGCAGCTTTCTGTTGTGTAATGAAGGCTTTAAGGTGATTTGCTGTGGTTGAACCCCATGCACAATTACCACAGGTGAGGTAAGGGTAGATGAGAGAGTGGTAAAGAGCAAGAAGTGCTTTATGGGGTACATAGTACCATATTTTAAGAGAGGATGCCTACTGTTTTGGATTATTTTTTTTGGTAATATGCTGTATGTGGGTCTGAAATTTAAGACAGTTGTCAATGTGGGGCACTAGAAATTTCCTGTCCATGTCTTGAAATGGAGGAACCATTTATCTACATGTCTAGCTGAATATTTGCAGCTCTGTTACCAAACAGTATGTAGTAGGTCTTTTCAATATTGAGAGTAAGTTTGTTGGCCATCCAAGTGGATATCTTTAGCAGCTCATCATTTACAGTGTTTCTAAGTATGGGTTAGTTTGGGTAAGAGAAGATATAGGGAGAGTCATCTGCAAAAAGAACAGGTTGAAGTTGTATGGAGGCATTAGGGAGGTCACTGATGTAAATGAGAAAGAGAAGTGGTCAAAGAACATTGCCCTGGAGGACTCCAACTAGAACAGGTTGTGTGGTGGAGGCAACGTCATTTGTGTATACTTACTGGTGTCTATTACTGAGATATGATTTAAGGTAGTCAAGTGAGTGTCCTCTGGCCCCGTAATGTTCAAGTTTTAGGTGTAAGAGATTGTAGTCAACGATCTCTTACACCTATATAAAGAGGCCCAGTGGAATTTTGTTTTTTTTCCAGTGTGGAAAATAGTAGCTCAAGCATGTGTATAACTGCATCATTTGTGCTTTTTCCTGGCCTAAATCCAAACTGGTTGGGGTTAAGTATGCTGTAGGATACAAGGTAGGAGTAAACTTGCTTGTGTATTATTTTTTCGAAGATTTTAGATAGGAGGGGTAGGTGTGATATAGGTCTATAATTATTTAAATCAGTAGGATCACCTCCTTTGAGGACTGGTGTAACCTTTGATGTCTTGAGCAGGGATGGGAAGGTTGAAGTTTCAATGGACTTATTAAAGTGTTGCAATAATAGGTGACAACAAATGAAAAGCTTTTTTATATATAAATGATGGTAAGCTATTTAGGTCTCTCACCTTGTTCTTTAGTGTTCTGATAATGAGTGAAATTTCAGTAGGGTTTGCTGGGGTTAGGAAAAGAGTATTTGGGTAGTTGCCAGTGAGGTAGGTTTTTGGTTGTGTGTTTGAGTTTGGGATTTTGCTTGCTAGTGTTGTTCCTAGTGGAGAAAAAGACATTTAGTTTGTTGGCAGTATCCGTTGGTGGAATGAGAGGTTCATTAGGTTTAACCCTTTGACTGTCGAAGGGCCAAATCCTGAAGTTGCTTCTGGTGTCGCAAAATATTCGAAAAAAAAAAAAATGATTTTTTCTTATGAAATGATAGAGAATCTTTTCCCGATTGTAAAGACACCAAAAAAACGAAATTTGATGGAAAACTGACGGAATTACGCTCTCGTGAAGTTAGCGACTTCGGTGATATTTAAAAATCGGCAATTTCGCCCACTTTGAGCCCTATTTTCGGCTAATTCCATTATTCTAGTCAACCAAACTCATAACTATTTCTTCAGAACTCTATTTTTTCTATCGATTGAGTACAAGAAACTGCCCATTTACCGATTTCAACTACCCAATAACATGGTCAGAAATTTGCAATTTGTCCAATTTCACGAAAATTAAAAAATAGGACAATTTCAAAATAAGGTCCAGAATGAACAATGCAGACATTCCTGGCTCTAAAATAACATTTTCTTTGTTTATCAGTCATGTCTCCAGATCCCTGTGATATTACTCTTGCTTTTTATTTTGAAATTTTATTCAAACAAAAAATAGAAGATTTACTGTTATGCAGACTACTGCAATACTGTAATAATTGTAAAAATTACATCAACCCATTCATGACTGCGTATTAGAATGGCTATTTGGACATTTATTGGACAATGACATCATTTGTTCACTTTTGAACATCGGCAAAAATCAAACATTTCCTGTACTTTGTGCTCCATTTCCAGGTTCTTTTTATAGTAAAATTAATCAAAATCACCTCCATTTCTATAATATAGT